TTTGCTCCGAATTTTTTCCAGAAAATCAGAAATAAATCGTTTAACAATACTCATTTAGAATAGAATTCTAAAAGATTTTGACCCTGAAAATCGCAAATTAGTTATTTTTCTATTTTATTTTATTTTTTTTCTATTTTCATATTTTCAAAAAAATCCGAATTTTTTTTATTGACTCATTCTGATTTTATTTGATTTTTAGTTATATTTTTATAATTTTTAGATTTAATTTTATTCGGTTTTCTATTTTTCCATTCTTTTTCTTAACGGGGACATTGTTGGTATTTTTCTAATTGTTGCTGCATTGCCGAATTTGTTCTTTGTTTTATTTTCTTTGTTGATTTTCCTATTAAATTTAATATGACAAATCAAATAACTCTTAGAGAACTTGTTGCCTATGATACGAACTATAATGCTTTATGTATGGAATATCCTGTTGTTAGTGTACCTTTCGAATTGGAATCTGATTTAATACACTTGTTGCCAAGGCTTAATGGACTTGCAGGTGAGGATCCGAATAAGCATATGAATGAATTCCAAATTGTATGCTCTACACCTTCTGAACCTTCATTAGAGGACCTTGTCAAGCAAATGGCTATAAATGATCTTCAGTTTCAGCAACAAACAGATTCAAGTCTTCAGGCTCTCCAGACACAGATTGAACAGTTTGCCACTATACTGAATGCCATGCAACAAGCTCAAGAATCCAACCAACTATCTGCCCAAACAGTAGTGAATCCAAAAGAGTTACCATCTGATTTAGTTGATGATATTCATCCTGAGTTGTTATCTGATTTTCCATCTTTATTAGATTATGATGATACTTACTCTTGTGATTCATGTACCGACACTAACATTTGTTCTGTTTGTGCTGAGATTAATGTTGCCGTACATGGTGATGTTTTTCATGCAGATGAAGTTGTTTATGTAGCTAAAACTCTTAACATCACGGCTGCCCCAACCTCACCATCCATTGAACGACCTTCCCCCTTGGAGCTTAAACCACTTCATACCAATCTGAATTATGCTTATTCAGATATGGATAAAAAGCTTCCAGTTATAATTTCTTCTAACCTTGATTTTGATGAAGATAATAAACTTTTACAGGTTTTGAAGAAACATAAGAAGAGAATTGGATGGACCTCGATGGAAGTGGGAAGAAAAGCAATGAAGCAACCCCTTAACCCATTGATCTCTGATGTTGTGGAAAAGGATATCAAATTCACGTGTCCATTTGACACTTTTATTTATCGAAGATTCTTCTTTGATCCTGGAATAAAAGGCGAAGACACTAATACAAATTTCAAGGGCGATGGATGCTATCCAAAGTTACTCCCCACTTTGGAAGAGGAGACGGCAGGAAATCTCTCTTTGGGAAAGGATGCATATGTGATCACTTATCCACCTTGACTTCTCGGGTGTGTTCCTTCCTTTCTCTCACTCTTATTTTATATTTATGTTCTTTCGTTGAGGACAATGTATGCTTTAAGTGTGGGGGAGGGAACCATTTACTTTGTTTTATTTCTTTCAATTTTCTTTGTTTTGTTTTCATTTAATAAAAAAATTGTTTACTCAGAAAAACACAATGCATTTTTTGAAATTTTTGGGTTGTAGATCGATTGGAGGTCAGATTGTAGAGACTTGAGAAAAATTCATAAGATCGGTATCGTTTTAACACCTTGAGTCTCCAAAATATGGAAATCGATTTAGATACTTGTTATGGCTTAGTCTTGAGTTCTCGTTCTTTAATAGCTCTTAAGTAGTTTATCTAGCAGTCAGCACCATCTAAAAATCACATGCTAAGTAATTGAGCTGATGCAAATAAGCGAATGATCCCGTGCTTAATAAGAAGAAAAAAAAGAGAAAAAGAAAAAGACAAAAAGTGAAAAAAAAGAAAAGAAAAGAAAAGACAAAGAAAAATGTCTAATTATGAATTATTGAAAAAATATGGATCACAGTCACTAACAAGTTTAGTTACCATGCGTGTGAATAGATAAAGGGCTTAATGTGATTGCACTAGAATGAAAGAGAGCAAAAAGGAGGATGAGTAAGTTAGACTTAGGCATAACGACATGATTTGGATTGGTTTGTATAGGAGGGAGTCTTATGATCGCAAAATTGCGGATTTGTGTTCTTACGATATCCTTAGTATGCAAAAGTAGTACCTATCAATGCAATCTTGACCAAAGAGGAGTTCACAGCCTAGATTGAATAGCTGAATGTTTTTGTGTTTCATGAGTTTTGACAATACTTTGCTCAGAGTGCAAAAGTTCAAGTGTGGGGGAATTTGATCAATGCATTTTAATGTACCTTCCTCTATGTTTAGACTTAGGCATTTCTACCATTTAGTTTATTTAATTTCCTATTTTATAATGTTTTTACAATTTATTTTATTTTAAGCTTTATTTAATTTTCGTTTGTTATTTTTCAGCATTAATAGCTTTTAGTGAAAAATTCATAACTGGAGCTACAGGAATCGGATTGAGGCATTCTACCAGTAGTTGGAAAGCTAAGAAAGAGATCTACAACTTTCATGTTGCACAAAGGAGCTGATTCGGATTTCTTGAGTCTCGAATAATTCGTTGAAGTTTCTGACTTGTGACAATGTAGTTTTCCTTGCGGGCCTAGTTTAGGTTTCTGGCCCAGTTATTTTCTATTTAAAGTTGTTGTTGTGATGCAAAACATGGACCTAGTTGATTTTTCCGAATTTTTTCCTTTGTTTTATAGTTTTCATGGAGAACTAATACCTCCGGGCAAATCCTGCTGTGTACGGTTTCAACACTTTGAGGTTATTATTATGTCAATTTACTCTGATTCCTTTCAATCATTTTCTATGAAGTCATCTGCTTAATTTGATTACAATTGTTTGCTTAATTCAATTGTTGTTCATAGGATAGAATTGGTTAAATTCGATTGTATGCATGTTCCTAAATTTAATTGCGTATTATCGTTTGCTTAATTCGTTAATTCGTCATATTCTTAACCGTTTGCTTAATTCGGTAAACAGGAATATAATTCATTTGATGTTGATAAGCGCTTGTCTGATTAATATCATAATCGAATAGGATTGGTACCGCTTAGGGATTAATGTTATAATAACCGATGATAAGTCGGAACCCGAATCAGTAGGATTAACCGTTTTAGTTTATCTGATAATCACTTTTTTTTAATCACTTTTTTTTTCTTATTTTAAAAATCAAAACTTAAAACCCCCATAAACATTTTCTTTAGTTGGTTGAAATAATACAAGAATCCTTGTGAGAACGATATTCCGAGTGTCGCTTTCCGTTACTATATTTTACAAAAATTACTCGTTTTTGATCCGCGAGCGACAGCGGATCAAATACCTAAGCATGCAAATAGAAAAATAGAACAATTTCAAAAAAATTTATATATATCACAAAATTTTTGATATACTACTGTAAATTTTATAATTTTCAAAAATTTTCAAAAATTTTTAAAAAATAACAGATAGTTTTGTCATAATTGAAACGTGTTAGGTTAGGTTTAAGTGGGGGTGTTAAATTCTCCCCACCCTTACTCATAGGTTGTGGTGGGTGCACTGCAAAAAAAGACAAAACATGGTGGGGGCTCCAATACTTACTACGGTAAATTAAGTGTAACCTTGTATACATACAACTTGAAATTGTGGATAAAACCTCTCTATTTCATAGTACCATAACGCATGCACGTTTTCAATCAGTTATTGATTTATTGTTAGCATATATCTAAAGAACTGCTGACATGTTTTGTCCTATAAGAAGTTGCATTTGGTCCATTTTTCTTTTTTTTCATAATGCATTGACAAACTAATTATGTGAAAATAGTATAGAAAAGTATCTATCAAAATTAATCTCTTTATTTTTAATCTAAAGATTAATTCTTCACATTTAAAAGCATAGATAATTTAAAGCGTGAGTTTTGAAGTGTTTGTGAATAACCAAAACTGAATTGTAATTTGATTAGACTTAAAGGATCTGAGCGTATTTTAAATTATATAATTATTTAATTATAAATAAATAAATTTTAATAAATAATATTCTTATCATTAAAATCAATATAATTAACTATTATTTTCAAAAGTATAAAATTTTTGAAGAGAAACTAATGTGAGACGGAATAATATCTAGAACATACCGTCCAATGACAACCCAACTTATATTAAGACAATAATATTAATGTCAAAAATAGATGAACAAATTTATTAATACTATTACTACATATAGTAGTTCAAATTAACTGTTCACAAGCTTCACACTAGATCATTTTTTATATAAGACAAAAACTTAAATTAAAAAAACAGCAAAACAAGAGAAGAACTCTATTGACACGGAAACTGTTATTATTATTATGAAATAAATAAAGAATAAATTTTGTCATGAGTGAACCAACTTTTACACGAAACTAATACATCTAAATTGAAATACAGCAATGACGCCCCAGAAAACTATTCACGATCCACCTGTCAACCAAATAAAAAACATTCAATATTCTAGCATAAAGTCAATTATTAGCAAAAACAAAAGGCAAAAAGCAAGATAAAGTTAATTATTTCTTTTTTTAAAAAAGAATCACAGTTATTTAACACCATTTGTTACTTTTAAAATTGAGTTAAATTGATCTAAAATAATTTTAGACTGTTATTCCATAAAAATTTATTAATTTCTCTTGTCATATTAATAATTTAAAATTTACGTTTGATTTAACGAGATATATAAGAATGGTTGACATTATAAAATTATTTTACATTATTATTAAATACCAATTAAATTCTTTAAAATTTATTCGTAAAGAGAAAATTGCTTTACACAACTTTGTAAAAACAAACACTTGATGTGCAAGATCAAGGAACAATAAAATATCTTGGATACTAATCAATAAAATCCATATAGTTGGATCTAAGCAGAAGCATAATACTCAAATTTGCAGATAATAAAAACTCGATCGAAGAAGCAAGTATAGAGAAAAAGGAATATACTTACATAAAAGATGATGATGATGGATTACTTAGTGATAGCATAGATGGCATAGAGAATTCCAGGAAGATAACCTAAAAGTGTGAGCACCAAACAGAGCCAGAACTCAACCTATATTAACATCACAAAGCAACCAAACAATTAAGCATGAAAAAATGAGCATAGAGAGATATAAAGGAAGACGAAGGAAAGAGGTTTTAGTTACTTTGCAGCCAAATTTGAGAAAGACGCCGAGAGGCGGAAGGAGGATGGCAACGATGATATCGATGCAGGTAGCTGTGCCCATTTTGTTGTTGGTGTTGTTGTGAACAATGAGAGACTTAATAGAGAATGTGATGCGGAGGATGAAGACGAGGGAGACGCGGTGTCATTTATAGAACGTGGAGTACACCCGGGTTTCGGTTTCTTTATCGTTTTCTCGGGCCGGTGCCTTTTTTTTCTTTTTTATTTTGGTCAAGTTTTATAGAACTTTTAATACTCTTTCTTTTTCATTAAGAAATTGAATGAAATTACTAACGGTAAGAAATAAAATAAAATTACTTATATTTTAAATGGGTTAAATAATTATTTATTTTGTTTTATTATTTATTTGTTTATTATTTGGTCTTGGTCTCAAATTTGACGCAATGAGAAGATGTTGAATTTAGTCATAGAGTCTAAAATGTAATGATATTTATGAAAAAGTGACATAAAGATAATGAATTAGAGGTTAAAGTTAAAATTGTTGACCATAATCTTTTAGGATCATGGAAGAGACAAAGATCAATCACGGAATACGATTAATGTAAAGATATCAAATAATAAAATAAATGAATATTAACATTTGTTCACTTGGACGATTATGATTCAAGTTAAAGAATATGAGTCTTCGGAAACTTCTAAAATGATCCTTATATAAAATATCATAAATGTCAAATTAAGATATTGTTATCTTAGATTTTTGACACACATTAATTGTAGAGTTGAAACAAAGATCATACAATAGTTTTTGAGAACAGTCGAAATGGTTGGTTATATCCATATTAGTTTTTAGGGATTTGACTTGTTGAAGAATGTATTTAATTTTGGTTGAATATTATAGTAAGAGACAAGTGGGGTTTGTCGAGTTTGAGACTTAGTAAAATTCAAAGTCCTAAATGTTTCTATATACAATCGAATGAGGTATGATTGAATAAGACCAGGTAGTTATTCAAGGATACGTGAGGGGTCTATCGAAGGTAAAGGTTGCATGGAAACGAAAAACGTGATGTGTATGGCTTAGTTGACTGTTATAGACGGTTATTTTAGAGTAGTATATAACTAGATGTTTGCTTATATTTTAGGGGTCCGCAATTGTACACAAAATTCTACAAAACTCTAAGTATATGTGTGATTGAGAAACGAGTGAAGAATGCACGTATGCGTTCCACTTCTATGAATCCAATTCTTTTACGTTCAAGTCATTTTCTGCATTTAAATTATCTTCAAGCATTTTATTTTTTTCTTCATATTTCGATTTCAATCAATTTAAGTCATTATTTCTCAAGCACTGCATTTCGATTTCAATACTAGTATATTGTCTAAAAAGTTATGATTCACACAAATATGTCTTGGGATCTTTTCGAGTTTAATCCCTTAAATATTACTCTCTCCGTTTTTTATTATAAGTCATTTTTTACTTTTCGCCCATAATAAGAAATGTAATAATTGTGCTATGAAAAAGAGAAATTATGAAGGGTTTTACAAAATTGTCATTCATTAATGATATTGAAAAGACAAATTTACATAATTGAAAGGAGAGAGAATAATAAATATTTAAGGGTATAATAGAAAAATAACATTAATGGTTCATTTATATTATAAAACGACTTATATTGTGGTACAAAATATTTTCCCAAAACAACTTATAATAAAAAAAACGGAGGTAGTAATTGAAACTTGTTTTGTTTACTAAATTTCACGGTAACAAATACACAAAACTTTTTATTTTATTTTATACCTCTTATACCTAACAATCAGTGACTTAAGTCTTATAGTGCTTACAGGTACAACCCTCTCAAATCATTTAAACAACCAAGACATAAAGGATCCTCAGACACAGAAAAATTAGAATCTGACTACATTTTTCTTTAAGAATAAGTTTTCTCATCGGAAAGAACATTGACACCATATATGGGGAACAAAAAATTACGTTTAAACCACTTTCTTAAATCATCAAGAAATGGAAACCTAGGATGAAGATTAACCCGCAATTTCAACCGCCCCACGATCCGTGACAAGCGAAGTCGTAAGAAGGAGTCCACATTGGGACGAAGGTCCAACTGCTTCATCATTTGACCCATAAAATCAGATTATGTTAGATCTTGTGTTGGAGGCCTGCTACAAAACTTGAATAAGAAGAAGATAATAATGGTATGATAAAATTTGCACAAAATAAATTTCAAAGCGTATGTTTATACTAGACTTTAGGTTCAATTCACCCGACCAAGTTAGACAACTTGGATGCAAATGGGTAATTCGACAAATCTCCATAAGGCTATTTTAAAAACCTTAACATGAATCGCACATTCACATCAAGAAAAATAGCGACTTTATTTGGAGATGCGAGCAGCCAGAGGCTTTCGACAACATCAAAGAATATATGATGAAGCCTCCAATATTGTTTACCTCCAAGTAGAAATAGGAGCATGGAATTATACACAATTGCGTCAGATATGACCATAGGCAGTATGTTAGCTCAAGATGATGATAATGGGGTCAAAAGAGCCATATATTACCTCAGTCGAATCTTAATAAACACAGATACTAGGTATAACCCGATTGAAAAACTATGTTTGTACCAATACTTTTCTTGTACAAAATTGAAGCATTATATAAAACTAGTGGCAGTTTATGTTTACTCTCATTTTGACGTTATTAAACATATCCTTTCAAAGCCTATATTGCATAGTCGAATAGGAAAGTGGGCCTTAGCGCTTACTGAATATTCACTGGCTTAGTGTCCTTTGAAAGCAGTTAAAGGACAAATTGTCATAGACTTTATTGTAGACCATTCAGTGGTCGAAACAATGGAAGCATGCGTAAAAACTAGTCCATGGAGGTTATACTTCGACGGTTCCAAACATAAAGATGAAACTGGAGTAGGAATCTTTATCATTTCGCCAGAAAACATACAGACCAAGTTTAGGTATAAGATCAAAGAGTCGTGTTCCAACAATAAGGTCGAATATAAAGCCTTGATAACATACCTTCAAATTTTGTGGGACTTGGGGACAGAAGACATCGAAATAAATAGAGATTCAGAGTTGGTGGTTCGACAATTGAAGAAAGAGTATAAATTCATCAAAGAGAATTTGATGTTATACTTTGTCAGAGCTAACTCCTTGCTGAAACGTTTTGATCACGTTTCAATTGACCATATACCTCGACCGGAGAATCAGGAAGCCAATGACTTGGCTCAGATAGCCTCAAGATACAAACTCTCTAAAGAGAGGTTGGAAGAGTTAGTCGGGGTAAAAGAAAAATTAGTTTCAGAGCAGAACCTTCAAGAGACACCGTCAATGTCAAAACTTGGGGGGAAGATGAATTTGAGGATTCACCAAACTTAATAAATTATGAGTTAGAGAAATTTTTGAACTACGAAGTTTTGGACATTGACTTAATGTCAAATAATGATTGGAGAAAACATACAGTCAAATATTTAAAAAATCCAACAGGACTAATTGATCGAAAAGTCAAATACATAGCCTTAAGCTACATAGTCATGGGCAACGAACTATTGAAGAAAACTCTTGAAGGGCTTCTCCTGAAGTTCCTTGGCAAAGGAAACTTGCATTTGGAAATCTCTAAGGTACATAGGGGATCATGTGGCTCCCACCAAGATGGTCACAAGATGAAATAGTTGTTATTTCGATTAGGGGTCTATTGGCCAACTATGTTGAAAGATTGCATGGATTTCGACAAAGGTTTCCAAGAATTCCAAAAACATTCAGGTATTCAACATGTGTCGGCTAGTGAGTTACACTAAATAGTTAAGCCATGACCTTTCAGAAGTTGGGCTTTAGACATAATTGTGGAAATCAGTTTGTCTTCGTCAAAAAGGCATATATACATTTTGTTAGGAATAAATTATTTCACTAAGTGGATAGAAGCCATACCCATGCCCAATGTCGACCAAGAGGAAATCCAGAATAAAATTATATATAGATTTATAATACGCAAAACTATTACAATAGACCAAGGATCAATTTATACTGAAGGGGTGAGAAACACAAGAAAGGGGATTTGAAGTGGGTTTCACCAACTATGAACTTTTGTGCGGAATTAAAAATCAATCCTAACAAGAGAAATAAAAATAAATAGAAACAATTATTTTTATCATGGTTCACTGTTAACAAAGTTACTTCAGTCCACCCACCAAGGTGATTTCTCCTTAGACAATGACTTAATCGAATAATCTCAACAAATGACAACCTCTAAGTGTTAGAAAACAACTTAGTCCTCTCAAGTATTCGGACTAACGACGTATTCAGTTGAGGAATCTACACTTTGAAAAGTGTTACAAGGGTATGCACAAGAATTGCTTCTAAACAAGTGGATGACACAATTGAAGTACAATAACACAAAAGTGTTTCTAGCAAGATATGAACAACAACTCATTTCTAATTTACAAAACTATCTTAAGAATAATATCCTAGAGATTTGCATCATATCAGCATGAATTTTGTGAGCTTAAAAGCTTCTTTTAATGCTTCTCTGATTTCTTGTAGAGCATCGCTCTAATTTGGTTGAGCATTGAGCATCTTCTTCTTGAGCTTACAACTTGGTGTTTGCTTCCGCCTTGAACAAATACTCTTGTGTTTTCTTCATCTCTTTTAATTCTTGTTACGGTTACTCTCGCTTGGTTTTTCTCTTCTGCTCTTGCAACATTTTGCACTTCAACATTTTAGCATTTTAGCATTTTTGCAACAGCAGCAGCATGCCAACTTCGGCAGCTTATTCTTCAAGCATTCAGATCTTCAATATATAGAGCTTGAGAATAGATCCTTGGAGGATATAATAGAAAACATATTCCAATTGTAATATCCCAACATTCATTAAAGGAATGGTCACATCATAGTACAAAAAGTTGTCCTTACACCACCTACTCTAGGTAGAGGTCACAGGCTATTTTGTACTTTTTTATTCAGCGCTTTATCTAACCATTCTTAATCTTCTGTCCTCTAATTCTTCAGAGGCTTCAGATGTAGATTTGATGAAGCATGTTGTAGAGAGATCAATACTTGTAACTTTAGAACCTAAGTCTTC